CTGACAGGGATAAAGTAGATCTGCAAAAATTACTTTGGGAAGACTATTACGAGTGCCTGCGAAAGCGAGCCGTTGCAATAAAAAATACGATTATCCTGCCCCCAAAGCGCTTTTCTTTTTAGATGGTTCGACAATCAAGTAAGAAAAACTAAAATTTAAGACAAAATAGTAATCCGGTCAACTTATTCTTTAGAAATTAGGTAAAAAAAATAAGTACACAAATAATTATTGCAGTTTGTCGTGCGATGTATGCTTACCACCAGACAGGCAACATGAAAAAGAATCCATAACATGGTGGATCGGTTCATTGAAGAACGATAAATTAAGATTAATTGCAGAAGATGAAAGTACTTCGATAGGTATTAAAGATAAATCACTCACTCTTTACAACATTCAAGTGCAACAGTCTGGCAGGTAAATGTATAAAATATTTACACAATCCAATTGAGATATCAATGATACAAAATAATTTTGAGAACGATATATAGATAGAATAAAATTATTACAATTTAGGTATCAATGCAAATTAGGTAATACACCTACTGCTCCTTATTTTGTGAGCGTGGCAGATGTAGATGAATCACTGATGCTGGTATTCATCAATAAATCATATCTTTTTCAATTCAAGAGCATGCCTGTTTACGAATTGTTTTCAAAATACTAGGTAAAACCATCCACAGCCAAATCAGGACCATACGAGTATGAGCCTGAACAAGTGACGTTATATGGAGGATCAGAAATAATGGTTTCTACGTCATGGTCACCGTGGGAACCGTGTTCAAGGTGATCTTTTAGCCTGGAGCTTTTTGATTAATTAATTAATAGAATGAGAACAAAATAGTAAACTCAATCCACTTAAAGCGTGCATCTTTTATTATTGTTAAAAAAAAATACAGGAAAAAGTATTGATCAGTTTTTTTAGTGACTTTTATTAACATTTCAATATCTGAAGATAAAACTATTTTCAAAGGTGCGGGCAAGTCGGCAAGCGTAAACGAATTGGATTATGTCATGTAAGGTTGGAAAAATTTGAACCTATATCAGAGCACGTGGTAACTCATTTATTTCATTTTTACATTCAATATACCTACGAAACATTAATATTTATTTTGGTCTTAGGATGAAATGCCTCATAATGAAAGTAGGTCAAAAAGGAAGAAAAAGATGAAACTATGGTCTCGTTCCATAGACGTCTTACTTTTATTCCCTGACGGAATCCCTTGTCTTTCACAAACATTGCCTAAACCTGTCAGAGAACTGCCACAAGTAAAAAAGCGTAAAACTTTATTTATGATCGGTTATTGTAAGGTACAGTATACGAAATGTGTAAAAATATAATGTTAATCGTTAATAGCTTAATTTCAAATGTTAATCAAACTCACATTATAAGGTAAAATGTGCAGGATCTGTAATATTTGAAGTACGAGATCAAAATGGAAACATTATAGAAACAGCTAATAATTCAGCAGGTACTTTTTTTTTAAATTAAATTTTAGATCATTTTCATTCGAAATATCTTTTTAGGTATATATTCTGCATTGCAAGATATACCAGATAACCAGAAACCCGTTGTTCGCGTAACTATATATGAAAATGTGGGAATGAGGATGTCTATCAAATGTCCAGGGTACAATTTTAATAAAAAATATAAATTAAATTAAAAGTTCTCATAATTTAGCAAACTTTATAATTTTAGCTATTTGGATGCTGATTTGCCTATAAAATGGAAAATTGGCTCAAAAATATTAAATGCTGATACAATCAAAGAACAATCTAGTGGAAGAATACAAATTAATGCAAATAATCACATCATAATAAAAGGCACTCGAATAGTAGATTCACATATTTATAGGTAACTGCATATTTATTAAAACAGGAAGACTTTAATATTATTATTAACTCCATTGCAGTTGTTGGCAAGATGATGAGCTTATGGGGACAGTAAGAATAGTCATCAATAAGAAATTTCGATTAGAAAATGATAAACATATAGTTCTGTTCGGTTCAGCCCTAATAGCATGTACTTTTAATATATATATATTGTAAAGCATATTATGGAAGAAAACGTAAATTGTACCATCTTTCATGAATAATGAAATAAACTTTATCATCAGAACACATAAATTAGAAGATAAAAAATAAAAATGATGTTAAAAAATTATAAGGATGTAATAATGAATGTAAATAGAGAGAGTAATAAGTAACTGAAATTACTAATACTTTCATTATTGAAATAATTATTTATATACTTAACTAATAATAAGTTAAATATATTTAATAAATATGTTGTAATGAAGATTATTAACTAATAATCCATACTGAGTATAAATTAAAACTTTTTAAATTACAAACAATCAGAAGTATAAAATTAAAGAATGGAATATATATTAAATTAATGACCTGAACTTCTTTGTCAGTTCTTTGGCTTGGTGGCACCATTTCTGGTGTTAGGGTTTGTGGTGGTTCCTTTCCAGCTAGCTTCTGTTCAATTAGCCACATTGCTAAAGCAAATTGTTCTTCGGTCAACTTTCCTGCCTGATTGGTATCACACAAACTCCTAAAAACAAACATCATTTAGTGCCTCAATAAAGTAGTAAAGTAGTAAATGTAAATAAATTGTCTTGATAAAATTTACTGACCATATATGTGCAAGACACAATTGAGGTACTCCAGTTCTTAAGAAAACATCACGCACTTCTGCTCCAGTTACTAACCCGTCTTTATTAGCATCACATTGATGGAAAAGAATATCTGACTTTTGCTTATCTTCTGGAGTCACCACCCATGGTAAAGATGCTGGTTTGATAGGCTATTAACAAAAATACAATATTAAAAAATGATTTTACGATTACTGGTATAAATGTAAGAAGTTTAAGATTAATGTAAGACCTGTATCAATTGTTCAGAAATTATCGTTGGAGCAACTGGCATTTCCTGTACTGCTGGCATGTCAGAAAAGTTAGCAAATTCCTCAACTTGAACCGGTTGATCCTGTGGCTTTGGTAAAAGTTCTGGAGGTAGACTTGCAGGTATAGCATGCTTTTCTAAGGCCTTGTATACTAAATGCATTGCCTAAAAGTAATTAAAAGTTGAAACTAAATATTATTAATATTTCATATTCCAAAAATGTCCATACCACAATGAATTCATGTCTATCTAACATTCCATCCTTGTCATGATCAGCTAAGTCCCAAATTCTACCTAAGGTCTCAACCGGAAGTTTTGAATCCATAAGAACACCTTTCACCTACAAAAACAATTTTGCGTGAATAAATATTATATTTGTTTATTTGTATAATTGTTTTACCTTTTGTCCTGGAATCATCCCATTTATTGGTTGTAATGATTCAAACAATTGGTTATATTTTACTCTTTCTGCTGGTTTTATTGTCCAATCAATTAAAGCAGGTGATGTAGATGGAATAATGGGAGGAATTTTAGGTGAACTTGGTGGTCTGGGAGGTTGTGTTGGCAGTTTTGGTACATCACCCTAGAAAATCATTTCATATAGAGCAGAACTTTATAATGTAAATTCCACGAAAGTAAGTTTTTACTTACAACTTTTGGTGCTGGACTTTCCATCATAATATTTCTTATATTTACATCAAAGCCAGCTTGAGCTAAGGATACCATTTTTAAAGCAACATAGAAACCTGATTTGTCGAGAAATCCTTTGCTCCCTGTATCTGATATATCCCAAACCTGATATAAAATATTTTAATTTATAAAAAATAAAGATCACTAGTAAACATATTTGTGTATTTATATACTCACTCTACTTAGTACAACATCACTCAAACCAGATTTTTTAAGAAATTGGGCAGCTACATTTGCACCTATCACTCCAGTACCTTTTGGATCAATCTAAAAATAATGTTAACAAAAATGACCCTTTAATAATGTTTAACAATGTAAATTAACTCTTAATGATAAAGTAATCACTCAACAACAAAGATAACTGATAATACAACTGATATTAATTTAAATTCAAAGGTTGATCACTTATTGATTTTTGTTATGCTGAATATTTGTATATAATTATTAATATTTACCTTATGATAATATGCCTCATAAATGGCACCATGGCATCCAGCCACCTATAACGAATCAACAAGTATAGTAAAATTACTAAAAATCAATAGGCTGATATGGAAATATTGATAATGGCAATCGTTCTGATGACGTCCAAAGACGCATATATTTATAACTCAGCATGCATTATAGATTATTTTGTGCAATTCATTTAATTAAAATAAGTTGTAACTGATATGATTTGAACAAATAATAAAACACGATTAATAAAATAGCACCGCCCGCACTAGCTGTCAAATGCAATATTCTTGTAGGAGGCAATAGAAGGGGTTATTGAAGATCATAATTTAAGAGATAGACACATAAATTATTTCACAATACTATGATACGCAATACTTTTCACACTTTCAAAATATTTAACCGTAAATTAGAAACAATAACTACCTGTGTTGGTGACGGCACCGCAGCCATCTTTTGTACTGTTTAATACCAACATAAAAAATATTCTTGACATTTCCTCGAAGTTCATGAAGTTCGTGCAAGTTCCATAAGCAACTATCGATAAAATTCGTAAGTTCTTTATGAATATCGATTATTCAAACTTTCAAATTCTTGAATATTTCAATGAATGAATAAAAGTCATTTAAATCATTCATTAAAAATTAATTGCAATCACAGTTCGATAATAATACAGATTTAAAGCTTTGACAATTTTGTATCATTGTATAACATGTTATTTTACGCTACTTCCATATGGTTCAACTTTTATAATGTAAAAAAATTAAATCAATTTTCTAATTTGAGCAAAACTTTGAATATTCTCTGAATTGTAATTACAAAAAAAAGTTTTGGTTCACATATACAAACTTTATTTTTCCTTATTGTTAGTCTTATTGTTTGATATTACATTACATAATAATCAACCATGCATTATTTAATTCATATATTTGATTTTTTTCAATTTCAAATACTCTAATACAAATCAAATATTCTAAAGTATATAACTGTATAAAAAATTATAAATATTAATTAAAAGTAAATTAAATATAAGACTTTTTTCCTCGCCAATCTAAAAACTCATCCGTTTCTTCTAGTTCTACATCTGAATCACTTTCTTCTTGCTTTTTCGTATCAGCATTACGAGCTAACAGTTCCTTTTTGCGTTCTAGATCCAATACTCTAAAACGTAAATGGTAAAATATAATGAGTGCAAAAGTCCTTTGCAATGTTAATATGTAATAAATAATTAATAACCTGGACCAATTTCGAATTTGTTCATCTATTTCTTCAATTTGTCTTTCGGTTGTTGCTTCTTCTTGATCTTCTGCAATTATAGCAGCAGATAGAGAAGTCTGTTCTTTCATTTCTTTCTGAAATCGTTCCCACTCCTCTTCAATTGGATCTTTATATTCTTGATTTCTTGCCTTAAAGATAAAAATATGAGATATATTATTGATTTGTACTGAAATTGTAATTTAAATATAAAAATCAGCAACCTTGGCATCCATAACTGGATCATCAAAAAATCCTTCAGGCAAAGGATCTTCATGATGATCGACTTGCATTTTTTGGTCATCATTATTATTTTTTTCGCTATCTTCATTTTTTTCTTCTTTGACAACTATTGTTTCTGTTTTTATTCTTGTATCATCAAAAAAGTCATTAGGTATATTTGATTCTGTTCCATTTTTTAAAATTCCTCTTAACCTTTTTGGCTCTCCTGCATTTACAGGTGATGCTGGCCTCTTGAATGATTCCGGCGTTGGTACAGTTGTGAAATTTTTTGTTTTTTCTTTCAATTGCTTTGCAGCTGCCACATTTTCCTTATGCTGTTTTGCATTTACGTGAACAGTCCAAACTGACTCAGATCTCACAACTGATTTACAAAGTATGCATGTAAGCTGACCTGATTCGTTGTACGTGTGATTGAGTTAAGAAAAATAATAATAATAAATTTGGTATCGATTTGAGCATGAAGTTGAATATATTGAAAATGTGATAAATTGGTTATATGGAACTTAAAAAAATAGCAATTACTACTTATCATCATATCTAAAATAATATGCACATATATATAATCATATGAGAAGTTATATATAAAATACTAAATAAAAGGATATTTTGCTAAAGGTGATTCAATCTTCTTTGTGGTTTTCGCCTGTTTCCCTTTATGTTCATTCATTAACCTCCGAAGATCACTTTGATTAAATTTCTTTTTCTCATTTTTAAATGAAGCAGACATTATAATATGCACAAATATAACAAAACAAATTCTATATTTCAATTCTTTTCTACAATAATTTTACTCATACATAACCTCAATTTTTTGACATTAAATTGTTTTGAGGTGTACTGCCATCTATATGTAAGAGTGACAATCGCGATTTTGTTTTGAAAAGATCGTTTCAAATATTGATAATAAGTTTTGTCTCAATAAAAAGTGATAAAGTAATTATTATATATTATATTACTAGCAGGTGTTCAGGTATTAGTTTTTAAGAGTACAATTACAAAGAACGTACAAATGAGTTGGAAAACTGTCAATCAATCGGTTCCTGCAAGGACTGTTAAATCTTCCGGTGCGCTAAAGTCAAATATTTACCGAAGTCCAAAAACATCCTATACTCCCAATATAATTAATATTCCCAATGTTTCTCCTAATGTTTTCAATGTTCCAAATGCACCCAACACCTTGTACGTTGCTCCTGGTGACTCAACTTCCACGACAAAAAACAAGTGTAAGTGATTACTTTCAATTTTATTTTATTTAAATATAATTGCTAAGATTTTGATAATAACTTATAATGACAAAGTTAAGTAAACATTTGCGAAAAAATAAATTTTGAGATTTCAGAAGTAACCACTAATTACTTACGCAAATACCAACCATTGAGGTAGAAGGTGAAGTTGGTGCATAAGCCATATTGTAAAAAAAAGCAATAACAAATTAGTTATCTCGCATCAGTTATCATGTTTTATGTTAAGAATCACATATAATTATAATAAAAACCTTTAAACTAATCGTTTTTCATGTGTAATTAATTAAAAAAATGATTTTTAAACGTAATATTATGTAATCGTTGTAACTGACATTTGTAGAAAAATTCAAGAAGATGATCAGATATTGGAAGTTGGTAAAGTATCAGGTAACAAAACAGATTTACTGCAAGGAGAAGACAAACAAAAACACCAAAAAACAATAAAAAATCAGTGCATCGACATAGTTTTATATATAATATTCATTATTGTAGCATCAATAGGTGAGTACATCTTATATTTTACAACTATAATAATGTTTTCAGTTGTTAACATATTTAAAATGGCCGACGTGTCAGTTAAGGATATTTTATGAACGGAAAATTTTCTAATAACAATTTTCAGTTCATAAAATAAACTACTGTTTCATATATGATTTTTTTAAAGTGAATCACTATAGTGATCTATATATTAACATCTATAGATGTTAATAATAGGAATTAATTAAAATTTGAAACAACACAATTTAAATAATTTTCTTCAATAATTATTAATATTTATTAATATTATCAGTTAATTTTTCTTTATATTAAAATGCCCAGGGGTGGTCAACCAGCCCCAACAAATGTTATTGGGTGGTGACCAACCAGTGGTCATGTTCATTAACGCATTTAAAAATCTATTCAATTATGTATAGCAAATTTGTATTTATTTATTTATTACAGTGGCATTTAGTTCAATAGATTCAAATATGTTCTATTTAACACGATCTATGGTTCTGACTTTTGTGGACCGCGGATTTGAAAGCACTAGTGGATCCATAACACTTAGAGACTGTGTTTCTGCAAGTGATTTCTGGGCAGTAAGTATTATATTTATTTGAAATAATGCTTATTTGAGGTAACAAATGAATGAGTGACTACAAAAATTGATAATTTGAAGTTAGTTCGAAACTATAGTAACAAATATTCAATAATTAATATTAAAACAAACAAAAATTAGGCAATTTTTCTTGATTTGCATGTGGTAGATAATTCTTTCATATGATGGAGCGTTTTGGATTTTTTTACTGTCCTCCCATTTGCATGAAATTTTGGAATTAGGTTCATCTTTACAAATAATGTGTAACTTACTATAAGATAAATCGCCTGTCTATACACCGTGTATAAAATTCTGTACCATAAAGATGGATAGATTTCACGATCAAAATGATAATTCAAAACTTTGTGGTTGGCCCCTTTGAGATATACGTTTGAACTTGAGCATAAGATGAACCTAATCACAGATAAATAATCATAATGAACCTAATTCCCAAATTTCATGCAAATTGGAGCAAAGTAAAAAAATTCAGAGGTTACACCCTATTTTGCTCTCCATTTACTGCACTATTAATAAATCATCCAAACTAACAAATATCTTGAATTTGTAATTTATATCAATATATTTTACCTTACATAAAGGTATAAATCAATGTTAATTACTCGATATTTTCTGATAGTATTTGGAATCTTCCTTTCCGGAGTCTCTATACAGAACAAACGCATTGGAGAAGTTGGATTTGCACCAGGATAAAACGACAGAATTTTCTGAAGAAAGTCCGGTTCATGATTATGAGGAATATTATAGAACATCTCCTGGCAATAATGGTGCAGTTTTGAGAGAAAACTTTTTACTGGGACGTGTAAGAATGAGGCAGCTTCGTGTTAGAAATAACAGTTGCCAGGTTTAAGTTTTTTTATTAAATACACATGTGATATATATATATATATATATATATATATATATATATATTCCAAAATCTAACATATACTTTATTCCTCTACTTTCTTATTTTCCAATACAAGTTACAATAATAATAATATAGGGTCCGCTAAATAACTTTTTTTTTAGGGGGTACGACTTAAGCAACCCTACTGTGTACTCTGCACTCTTTACATTTTACTTTCAAATAAAAAAAGTGAAAATATTTAGTGGTTTTTTAATAGAATTTTCAAACAAAAAGAAAATTGGCAAAATATTCAGAAGATTTTTTAAGAAATTTTTCAAAAAAAGCTAGTTGGACCCTATATATTGATAAAAATAGGGTATGCAGAATATATACTCATTATGTATAGAATACATTTGATCTATTTTCTAAAAAAAATTGCAGGCAATGCATAAATAATAAATTTGTGTAATAAACCACAAACTATTTTAAAAAGTTTTTGAAAAATAATTTTGATTTGAACCAATAATAATATTTATTTTAGAATATAACTCTAATTATGGAATTTGTAGGTACATGATGATTTCCGACGCCAATTTGCTGAATGCTATGGATTTTTCGACTCCGAAAACGAATTCAATCAAAATTTTGGCCCCGGAAACAGTTCAGCGTGAGTAAAAGTCAAGATTAAATATATATTTTTTTATTAAATTTATATTTAATCTATATGTTTTCATTATTTTATGCAAATTATCTTCTCTTCTATTTTAGATATACTTTTTACAATTGATTTGCATACTATAGAAATGTATATTATATTGTCTGTAAAATATCTTTTGTTTCATATAATAATAATTATTAAATGTTTCTAATTTTATTAGATGGTGGTACACCACATCGTCAAATTTAAAGGGTGCAGTTTATTGGGGTCATATTTCTGGAGGATCATTATACACCGGAGGAGGTTATTTTGTAGATCTACCACAGGACCAGGAAGAAAAATACAAAGAAATAATATTAGACTTAAAAGAAAATAAATGGATTGGAAGAGGAACTAGAGTTGTGTTCATTGATTTTACAACTTATAACCCGAATGTGAATTTGTTCTGCATTGCAAAGTAAGAAATTATAATACCTAATATATTTTATTAGACATTGTGCTCGTAAGGAATATATTATATAAAACCTGGCATATTTTGAAAAAAATAAGAAAGAGAGATAATAAACAAAAAATAAAGCCAGCAATAATATTGTGCATATTAGTATCTTTCTATAAAGAATCTTGCAAGTTTTGAAATAATTTGTATAAAGTCAGTAATGTAAACTAAATGACTAGAAGAGTTGTGCAAACACCTATTTATTCATTATTAACTAAGTGTTTTAACAATAATCTTAGCTTATTAGTTTACATTACTGATTATATATTATTTAGACATAACTTGATCACTTAAGTGAATAATTATACAACTCTGCCAGCAAATGCATTGTTAAATTCGAAAATTTAAGTTTCTAATCATATTCTAACTAGTTATTGCTTTTTCAGAATAGTTTTTGAGTTTCCGCCAACTGGTGGAATATTGCCCTCAGCTCATTTCCAATCAGTACGTCTGATTCCTTATATTACAAAATCAGATTATGTCATACTGTTTTGGCAATTTGTATTTGTAATATTTATTATATACTATACTGCAGCAGAAATTTATGAATTGGCTTTGAATGGTTTCCGTGAATATTTCAGAGAGCTTTGGAACTATATGGAATGGACAATCATTATGGTGAAATAATCAGATTATATTCTTATTCTCTCTTGCACCATTGCATTTTTATAAATGATAGATTTTTAATGAATTGTTCATCTTGTAGAAATTTGTTGTCAAAATATGTACGTATTGCTTTGTGTATATATTTCTATAATGATAACAACTTCTTCCAGCTCTCTTATATTTGCATCATATCTACCATTTATAGATACTTTTTAATGAAAAAAAAATTGGAAAACTTATCGGATGATAAATACATTAATATGGAATACATCAGCTTCTGGCAAGTACGTTTATAAAATTTTAATAATCAAAATATAATTTTAAATATATTAATAATATATTAAAATCGATTTCAATCTATACTACCATTTTGCTGTTTTTTTAGAGGCAATATAATAATGTGATGGCTGTTTGTTTTTTCTTCATCTGGTTAAAAGTGTTAAAATTCCTCAGTTTTAATAAAACTATGCGACAATTAAAAAGTACATTGAAACGGGTACAGTAATAAACCTTTTTTTTTTAAAAAAAAAACTCAATTATATTATGCTTATTTTTTATAATAACTAATTTTTTTTATTTTTAGTGTGTAAAAGATATTGCAGGTTTTGCTGTTATGTTCTTTATTGTGTTTTTCGCGTTTGCACAGCTTGGCTATTTACTATTCGGAACACAGGTGCATTTTTATAATAAAATTTATAAAAAGGAAATTTATGTATTAATAATATTATATTATTAAGGCCCAGGGATATCGAACCTTTGGTGCAGCCGTCGTTACGCTTCTCACGACAATTTTGGGCGAATTTGATTATCACGAAATCGAACAAGCAAACAGAGTTTTGGGACCAATATATTTTTTATCGTATATATTCTTTGTCTTCTTTGTTTTACTAGTAAGTAATATAAATATCAGCAAATTTTTAAATTGGCCCTCTTAATAATTATAATATTCGAATAAATTCATTATCAATTATTGGTTTTCAAACAATTTAAAAAGAAGTTTTCAACCATCATTTTAATTTATTATTTTATCTATCTAGAATATGTTTTTGGCGATTGTGACTGATACCTATTCAGAAGTAAAACGTGAGATTGAGAGTTCAGGAAAAGGCGAAGATGTACATACTTTTATCAAACGTAGAGGAGCTCGTATTTATAACCGACTTTTTATGAAAGATAAAAAGGACAAAAATGAAAAAAATGATTTAACACAAACGAGAAGAGAAAATAATGAACCTAATTCATCGCCCAATACACCAAAGCAGAGGCAGGCTGATGTTTATGCACAAATCAGGAAAACGTTAGAACTGTAAGAAAATATTTTGAACAATATTGTTAGTAGTATTAATATATTGAAATTCAATAATTATAAAATTCTATATGAAATATAGTTAATTATAATAGTTTGGCAACCAATAATATACATAGTAATGATTTGGCTTAAAAGTAAGGATTTGGTATAATTCAAGTTCAAAGAATAGTACTGTTTATTTCTAGTTGCAATTTCAATGATTTAGAGATTGAAATGTTTTTTGCAAAATACGATATTAACGGAGAACGACGTATTGATGAAAATGAAAAACAAAAAATCCTAGATTATCTTCAAGGAAGAAATCAAGAAAATCGCCAATCAGGTGTGACTCGTGTACGTTTTATTAAACAAAACAATTTTGACAAAATACGATTAAAATCTTATAAAAAACATAAAAAATCTTATCATTATAGAAATGATATAATATATAATATATTAGCAGTGATGAAATACTATGAATTTTAATTTTGTATTATCTGTGCATTTTAGAAGACCAGATACGCAGCAGAAAGAGCACGCTGGACATAGTGAATTCAAAAGAGTTCAAAGGGCAAGTAAAATATTTATAAATTTATAATAAAATTTGTTTCAGAAACTAAAAAAAATGCTAAAAAATGTGTTTAATGTAGGTTGGAAAACAGAGTAAGTGCTCTGGAAGGCTCAATAGACCGCATGTTAGAGCGGGTGAATTTTATTGTCAGCAAAATAGAACTAGTTTCTGGAACACCCAGAAACCCAACAAAATGACATAAAATATGTGCAATATTATAAATATATAATATAATATTTATGGTTATCATTAATAATCTTGAATGATTTTTTTTCAGAAAATTTTTATATAGAATTTTGAAATCACCTTTTTGAACTACTTATTGTCTTTAATTTAACAATAAAAATATTTAAAAAAATATTTTATAAATAAATAAATAGACTTAATAGATTTTTAATACTTTTATATTAATTTACTATAGAATTATTAAAACCGATTTAACCGATAACAGATTCTGTACAAAATTATATTTACATAGAGGCCTATTTTGGTCTCATGCAAATACCCTCAACTGCAATTCTGATCATTAAATTATCATTAGTCCGCTGCCGAGCAATCAGTGTAAACAAAAATATTTAATTTTATATATCAGCGATCATCTAAAATCAAATTACAAGAACAACCGGAATTTCCGATTTCCGAATATTTGGATTTATTACTAAGCTAAGCTCTTAGGTTACAGGTACATCAGTATTTGTTTTTAAAAGAGTACTCTTTATCATTTCACTGCTCAATATTTGTTATATGATTTTAAATTCCATTTTGGCTCATCATGATTTTAAATGCTACAACAATAATGTTGTTCCTACAACCCCCAACAAGTGGAACCAGTGGCGTAGATAGATACCCTCCAAATAGTGTCACATTGATGCCCTGCTTTTGGCGCATTTGCGAAAAATACTCGACCCCGGGGAAACACATGGTTTTAGGGAACTTGATAGTATTCAGTGCTAATCCAGTAAAAAGTGATTTTCAGGTATGGTCTTTAAATTCTATTATGCGTGAATTATTTTATATTGAATGATAAATAGATCTGTCTACAGTTGCTTCAAAATATTTAATCTTACAATAATATATTTCAGCAAAGAATTTTGAGCACAATATTTGTTGTAACAGACCTAAGAGTTTCCCTAATGGTAAAGCAATGGAATCACAAGCACGAGAAACACGATCATGCTACAGTCAGGTATCAAATAATAATAAATTATAAATAATTAATAAATTTTAAGCCAATTTTAATTATGTTAGGGCAAAATATTGTATTCTTTTTGCATATGAGATAGAGGAATTAAAAGCTCAAATTAGTCAACTTGAAAGTTTATCAACTTGGAGTCGAGTTGCAAGATTCATGATACTCATGTTAGGAAAAAGAGATATCAGGTATTATTAATACAAGTTATTATCACTAATTATAATTTGAGAATAATTAAAATAATTGTTTGGTTTTTTATTGTAGAACGCTAAAAAAGATGATGAAGCCTATTTTCGAGATGTTCTTAAAAAATGGTAAATAATCATAAGCAGAAAGTCAATCAATAGAAATCATACAAAAACAGTATAAAACCATATAAAATCATATCAGTACAAAATCATATGTGTCTGTTGCTTAAAACATAGATGTTTGATATATAGCTTATAAAATTGATTTTATTTCTTAGGGGTATATGATGTTATGGTGGGTGCAGAACCAGATCTAGAACAGCCGAAATTTTTAATATATTCTTGGATACCTTATGAAGAAGATGCTTGTGGCTCTATTAAAACTGTAAGATTAGTTGATGAATGTAAAGGAATATTTGTCATTCCTCACGCAGACTCATCCAAAGAATCAAAGTTTCCTAAGGATCTGTTAGGATGCCCGGTTAGTGAAACAAATATTCAAACAAATATATTTGGATTATAATGAACCAGTGAATTATATATTATGGAATAATAATTTGTTAATTTTCCGACACAGATAAATGTTGGAGCTGTTGCTACGAGACCATTTGTAGACAGTACGTCTTCATCCAAAGGCGTAGAAGTTCAACTACTTAACTTGATTGGTAAAATGCACAATTTTAAACCAGTGATAAATATTTCACCAGAGAGCAGATCCCTTATTGGGATATACGACAATGGTAATTAATATTCAAATTTTCAACAATCATACAATAATGAGAATCATAAGTAGAACCAAGTATTCTATTTCCCATCCAGGTACTATGAGTCCTTTCTACGCCAATCTAACATACGAAAACAAGAAATCAGATATCCTTATTGGCGGAATGTTCGAAAACTCTCGTACTCGTCATCATTTTGGGGCCACGGTGTCCTATATGAGAGATGATGTCACTTGGGCTGTAAAAACTTCTATCGCTGGCGAAAAATGGCGAAAAGTTTTTGCAGTTTATTCCAGAAATGTTTGGAGTTCAACTTTTGGCCTTTGGTTGGGATTGACAGGAATATTGTACTGGTTCTATAAAGTGGTGCATCCTGTTGATGCACGATTGTCTGCTGTTGGCACCATGGTTTTGAGTGCCATAATGGGATTACCAGGTAGTAAGGGGAAATTGATTAGAAATCTTTCTAATTTTATCCTTGATTTTAATGTTTAGCTTCTGATAAATCAATAAGTACAAATACTGCAACCATCCGCATAATATTGGCAGCTTGTTTCGTTTTTGGTTTACACTTTTGTACTGGATATCATAGCATGCTCATAAGTGCTTTGACAAATCCTGTAGAACCAACGCACATGTCGACTTCTAAAGAATTGTTTGACTCCAACATCATAATGAGAGGTAAAAAATCAGATTTATAATATTACACTATTATTTTGGAAATCTTTTTATATTCCTTTTCAAGGCGGCATAGCTGAATATTGGAGAATATCTCAACTAAGCGGAAGGAAATCTGAACAGTTTGAAATTTGTAAAAACATGGAAAAATGTTTTCATGAAATCGCATTTGGTAAATTAGAGAAATCTCTAGCAATCTCCAGAGTTCAGGTTTTGGACTTTCTTCTCAGATATTCACAAGGTTCTTAAAGCATTAATAATTCTCCTAACATTACCGATTATAACATACAAGTATTTTTAAGCTGGTCAAGCACTACCAATCCACATATTTTCCGAATCAGAAAATTTATATGAATACAACGTAGTGATGTTAGTTAGGAAAGACTACCACTTATTGGATATGTTCAATTTAGCCATCAGAAATTTAACTGAAAATGGCATAATCAGGAAACTTGAAAAAGATAATGGAATCCATTCAAGAGGTAATACAGCATAAAAGAAATATAGCAATCCAACTCCAAATATTGAAATTATTAATAAAAGTAGTTAATAAATTTAATATTTAACCTTAATGTATATTTTTATTCTAGTGGATGGTTTTCTTAATGACCAAGATGAGACAGAATTAAAACTCAGCACCGAGCACCTTGGAGGTACCTTTTTCATTATATAATTTTCAATTTAGAGTTGATTTTTATATTTAATTAATTTTTTCACAGGAGCATTTGTAGTTTTAGTGGTTGGTCTATTAGCCAGTTCAATAGTATTTGTATGTGAAATTATAATCAGCGCATGTCAACAAGTTAATATTGTTATTGAGAAGAAAAATTAAATAGTGAATATATCTCAAACAACTAAAAGCTTATTTATAAATGGTAGTGAGATGATTCATTCTACAATATGACGCTCATTATTTATTGTAAATTTGAAAACAATAGGAGAATAAATAATAATGTTTATAATGCACGTGTTCAACCTATTTCAGTAATACTAATCAATGTTTAAGCAAAGTTCTATGTTATTTATTTATAATTTCTATGTGAGCAATAACGATAAAGGAAAAAAAATTAAATTCGATATTAATAGCATATTAGTCAAAGGTATTGTTCAGAAACTAAGAAATGTTATGCGCAATATCTTATTTAAATAACAAAAACTAATAATTATTACAGTTTAATCATTTTTGTTGTTGAGATTTGTTTCTGCACATACCGTATTTTTTCTATTCTTAGTAATATAAACTTCCAATACAATAATCGATACTAAAATATAAATTCGATAATTTTAAACAAATTTAATGATTTCATATAAATAAAATATTTATTAAAATTTTAATAAAATATTTTCTACGTTTCGGGATTAATGGGATGCCCTCTTTTTCAAGTAATGCGATTGCCAAACCATATTGCTTTTGGAGCAATTTTGTAAATCTACAATAATTTAATTATTGTATTTTTTTTTAACTTAAAACGTTACGAATGCTAAACAATAATCAATTATCCAGCCAGCAAAACTAATATGAATTTTTATGAATCATGAAAAAAACAAAAAATATTCATATTAGTTTACATTAAAACTAATGTGAATATTTTTTTAAATTTCATGATTTAAATTTAATCAATTCACAATCAAATCAAATCAAATTCACTGTTTAGAATTTAGAAAAATTTGATTCTCATAAGATTTAGATAAATTCTAATTAAATTTATCTTATATTTTTATGGATCAATAGAAAATCAATCAATTTATTATGTAATCAAAATGCCTAGAATAACTTTTATGTACAAATTTTAAACGAAAAATCTAGTAATTTATTTGCTAAACTGTAGCAAATCTGGATTAATGTAATTATTATATTTTCTGTAAAATTAACTAAAACATGATGACGAATACAGAACAATAATTAATTAATCCAGCTAGCAGCACTAATATAAATATATTTTTTAAATTTAATGATTTAAATGTAATCAATAATCTGTTTAGAAACATTTGGTTCTCACAAGATCTAGATAAATTCTAATTTAATTTATCTTATTTTTATGGATTAAATAAGGAATCAATCAAATTTGATACGTAAAATCTAGCGATTTGTTTGCTAAACTTTTGCAAATCTGCAATAATTTTAATTATTATAGTTTTTTTTTCTAATTGTCCAAAAACTTTAATACGAGTACTAAGTTTCGGGATTTAAATTTAAT